ATCACCACAAGTAAATAATACAATAAAATTTCGTTCAAAAGTTTCAACCATAATTATGACAATTTATAGATAACAAATAAATGATCGTCTAATGGAAACTTGATCCGTTAGATCCTGTTCCGAGATTTCTCCCAGACATTTTCACAATTTTCCGTTCATGTATACTTTTACTCCTTTTTGGACATAATTACGCAACTGTAGGTGCAGGTGCAGCCTTTTAGAAAGAATGGGCCAACATATCATCAAACATCGTATATAACGATCACCTTAGAAGCAATATTAATGAGAAATTAAATAAGTAAAGACAAACACGTGCAATGAACTATAGTAAAAGCAGTAAATATTACATAAACTGACTCAATTGCTTAATATTGAGGACTTTGTTTAAGTACTCTTCGACAAAGATTAGAAGCGATAGAACGAACACAGAAAGGAAAGAACTGATAATGATTTCGAAGCACTTTAACTGATAATACTGTAGTTAAGTTTCTATGATGATATCATACTTCTCTGATTCACTTGTTGTACTTACTTATATATGTACTTAACATTATATTTAAGTATTACATAAATTGATTGATCAGATTTTGAGAAAAGAAGGCGTGCCCTTCATGTATAACGTAGGTGCTGACATAGGTATCGCCTATTCGCCTCCATTTTATGGACCCCCATGAATATAAGGTACTTAAAACAAGAAAAAATTAAAGAAATGTGTACTAAATACTACTTATAAGAATGTGGTGATAGTTTTCTTTTTTCGGGATTCTTTAAAGGGCGTGGTGATTGTGAACAGGCGAGCTTACCCTATATTCGTAATGAGTCGTACTCTCTCGTCCTCTCTTTGATTCCAATAATAAACTTCACCATATTCCGTACATCGATAATACCTACTTTTGGAAGCCCTTTGGATTTATTTTAAATGTATGTCACTTAGATATAATTATTTTGTTTTTACTTATATGAAAATGTCTCATTAAAAAGGCCAAGTCGATGTATTCATTTCTAATGCGAATGCCCATAGCCTACAATGCCATCAAAACAAGAACATTAATAAAAACTTCATAATTATATAGACATAACCACTGAATTACCGAAAAAGTTATTAGGCATGGTAGGTACCTAGATAAAAACATCTAAAACAGTTACGGCATTACATTTTACCCAAAATTCGAGGTAATAATCATAAAGCTAATTAATTTAAAAGCCTCTATGTCCTTTGAACTTACCTAATTATAATTGTTGTCACATGCAGAACCCTCCGTAATTAAGTGTCCCCTAGTGACCGTATTCTGAGACATATGTTTTTAATTACCAGTCACTTTCACGGTACGGTAAAGACGTACAAAATGATTCTAGTTATTATGATATCATTAATTAGGTTCAGTTTATTGTAACAATGTGAGTTGGTCAAGCTTAATATTAAATGGTTAAATGTAGGAATGTGTATTAAAGGTGCTCCCTCACCGGGAGCATTCACATGTGTAATGTAACATTATAGCTTCGATTTTGAACATTACATTAAAATAATACCTCTCTGACTAACGAGCATTTGCGTGTAATGTAACATATAGATTCGACTTTGAGCATTTCATAGCAAGATGTCAGACATAGATGATACAAGTTGTGTCAAGATATTACACATTGTATCATTACAAGGTGCGCATTGTAATGCTCGGTTGTCCTCCTTCACTGATGTAATGTAACGTTCCACGCAAATGCTCCTGGTGAGGGAGCACCGTAGGATTATTCGTGTGTGGTTTGGAAATGGATGAGAAATTAGGTGTTATTCAAGTAGGTAGCTTTTTGATCAAGGTAGCATTGGATGTCTTTCCCTCCTTTTTTAAGTAACTATTTCACATTGTTCGAGATTTTAAATTGTGCAAGTTACACACGAACAGTGGACCGGCTACCACTTCACCAATCCTAATTTGTAGTTACATCTCCTTTTGTTTCCATGAAAAAAGAAAAAAAATATTGTTATGAAAAAACGCAATTCCACAAATGTTTACAAGTATTTTCTAGTCGTTCATTCATCAAAACCAAACTTCTTAGGACTCATTTTTTTTCTTCCCAAAGACAAAAACGTACAAACCAGCAAAAACTTCATAATCTTAAAAAGCTGTTGAAAGTTAACGAAACTCTTTATTTGCAAACGCCGAAACGTTTGGAAATGTAACAAAAACACCCGGAAACCTATTGAAAGATACAAAAGAATGAAAGAATTTAAGTGCGAAGGGTCCTCACTTAAATTTAGGGACGGACGAAGCACCTGCTACCTGATCGAGAGCCGACACACGACTAACTTCACATTGGTTCCAAGTTTGAATTCAAATTTTTTTTTGTTAGAAACAAGATGGACGCTTTGTTTCGAATGATTATTTTATGGCTTTATGCAATCTATGACTTTAAAGAGAGCAGAAAAAAAAATGAATGAATGAAACAATTTAGTTCAACTCATTGTTTGCAACAAAACAAACCAAATTGCTTATCTATAGTTTATCGGTATTTTATACAAACAAACTCTTTCATTATAGAAATATGTAATCAAATATTTTATACAATAAAGTATTGTATAACATACTTTATTGTATAAAAAAGTCCTTGGATATCGACAAAGACGTTATTGTGTTTACAGTGAAGTTAAATATTTAAATCGAATTGGGTCAACTACGGAAACTTTATCGAGTTGCCCTCTTTTTACTTCTTTTATTAATATTTAACGGTTCTGCTTATCAATAACAATGCTCAACAAACATACTTACTAATCATATTTTATGTTATTGGAGGAAAATAGTGGCATTAGTTCATTTTAAATGATAACTCCTTCTTAGAAAAACTGATTGTGGAGCGCGAATTTTTTTCATCATTCGTTTAAACTTTAGCAGCATAAACTAGCATTATGGTCAGTCTGTTCTCTGTTTAGTATAAGAATGGTATTAAGCCATTAGTCTACTCCCATAACACATGAGAATTGTAATGTTATCTGGGCAGCTGGCTAAGGTATACGGAAAGAGTAAAATCTCTTAACCACAGATCATGGGTCCTGTGCTTTCATATTGTAACCTCTGACAGAGAAATTTACGAAATGAGCTGTGGATGAGCTATGCTTCGGCACGAATGGGCCGGCAAGACCGGAGTCAATCTCCCCATTCCCCGGATCCCCAACAATCCTCAAAATCCTAATCCCCAAAAGGCCGGTAACGCACCTGTAACGCCTCTGGTGTTTCAGGTGTTCATGGGCGGCGCCGATTGCTTACCGTCGGGTGATCCGTCTGCTCGTTTACCGGTTTATCCCATAAAAAAGAAAAGGAATTCTAAACAATATTGGCGCATTCTAAAATTATGAGACATTTTTGCGCATCGATAGATCTTAAAAAAATTGATTGGTAATCAAACGAAAAGTTCCGACTAAGTAATACCTATGTAATAACATTTAATTGCTATCCGTACTCGCATTACAACTAGCTTTTTTACTGAAAAACAAGTCTCAATCAATTAAAAATTAACTCTCTATAAATTCAATGTTGACAAATTGCCTGCCAATATGGCTGCCATAATAGGCGTTCCATTATAATAATGACAGCGATCGTTTAATTAAATTGTTTCCTTTTTTAAAATATCTCAAGTATCTTCGACGGCATCTTATCGAAGAGTTATTGCGAAGGGTGAATATAATGTCCGGGTTGCCAGTACCTACGTTGTGCGATTTATTTTTTTATTATATTCGAAAATGGAAAGAGCATCGGTTTGACAGATAAGCTTGTATGTATTCGTTTTGTATGATCTTTTATGAAATGGAATTTTATTTGACAGTTAACTTTTTAATTTTGAAACGTAGTTTTCCAATTAGATTTAGGAGTTTTATACATATGATGAGATAGATTATGAATATTTGCAATTTCGAAATCCTGCGCTCATTTTGTAAAACTTTGCTCGCTTATTAAAAATATGTGTACAAAATCTAAATACTGAAAAAGTTTGTGTATAAATATGACAAAATAACAACCAAATGGAATCCCGAACTAAAAATGTCGGACATTCAATTGTTTCCCGCTAAAAATTCAAAGCGAGATCCAATTTCAAATTTAGAAATCGTCCGGTTGCCTGTAACTACATTCAGCAAAAAGACGAACAAAAAAGGTTGTAACACCTTCGTAGAACTCCACGTACCTACGTAGTTGAAATTCATTTCTAAATATTCATAACATAACATTACGCCTTTTTATCCCCGAAGGGGTAGGCAGAGTGTATATTATGCCACTGTATAATGTAACACCCACTTTTCACTATTTATGTTATGAGTCCCATGCAATAGGGGGTGAGCCTATTGATATTCATTTCTAAATAATATGTATATTTTGGCGTTATTTGTAACCTAAAACGTGACGTAGAAGTAGAGGAATATTTTTAAACTTTCACTTCAATATATCTGTTATCTAAAAACTAAGTGCATAACGAAAATTCTTGTTTAAATATTTTCGTTTGAGAAACCGTCACAAGGTCTGCAGATCATGTGTGTTATTGTTTGTTAATTTTACGTCATACTGCGATGGAACTTGGTCCTAGTTTACCACTCCTTGCCATCTTTGGAACTCTGGCCTCATTATTAAGTTGCAAACTATTATTAATAAAGGGTCTTACTAAGCTCTAAGTTCGATAGTTTATAGGTATTTAGTCTGTAACAGTACGAGACATTGTATTGAGAATATTAGCTTTTCTCGATAGAAGACTTAATCTATGGCCTACAACCTATTAGATATTTTTATAGCTTGTCATATTTATTATAAAGTATAGTATAAAATAAGTTTAGTATAAAGTTCATTTACGTTTATGATGTTCATAATTATCTATGTGTTAAAATAGATGGAATTATTCACAACAATAAAAATATGGTAAAGTGCTTAATTAGGTACCTGCTAACGCAAGTGTAATTGATTTTATTAATTTGAACTCGATTTAAAGAACTTTCACTAACATAATTATGTTCCAAAAACCTCAATCGGAAATGCAGAGAATCATGTAACGATCGCAGAACAGTAAGTATTACCTAACTAACGTCTAACTCTCAAAGTAGCGAAGTTCTAAGACAAAGTTTAACCTCGTTCACTGGCAATGTCCAATAAATTAAATGAATGATCGATCATGGCACAGTTGTCGGCACACTCGGCGCCGCCAGCGTGTTCTGCGCTGTCGTAAATCAATCCGCGCCACTAACACGAACATTGCGAAAGAATCAATAATAACCGTAAAACCCAATGCACCCATAAAATACTTAACAATTCAAATCAAGTTATCACCGTGTCTCCAGTATTTATCTGAGAGTTCACGTCACAACAAATCTGACTCGTGAATGCGTATGCCAAACAATCATATCTTATCAAATCAAATGATTGTGCAAACGAGAACAGTTTATCATCGCGCGCGTCGGTCCGGGCCGGGCTACTGCGAGGTCTACGGTCACGGGAGCCCTACCACTTACCACGTTGTTGCAGGCCGCATTCAACACTCCGACGCCGCACCGAGTGAACGTCGGGAAGGCAGCGACTCACGTAACTATCGTTAGTGAATAGAGTGCGCGTAGTCGATCGCGACGTGCAATGCCCAGGGCCCAGTGCGCCCCGCTACCCCTAACAGGGCTATGGATACCCTCATCGACAAGTTCAAGAGGGAGCAAAGCGGTCTACGACGCTCCAGATCCGTCCGCGCTTCCCTACGATTGATCGGCAACCGCTGGCGGTCCAAGGACGAGGATACCACAGATGATATCGATAAGATCAAAAACAACGGAATCTTATTCACAAAGCCGACGATCTGGACGGAGAAGGAGTACGACGTCGCATACACGGGTATTGAAGGAACGTACAAACCAAAGACACCAGCCATGGCGAAGCGGAAACCGGAACCGCCCAAACAGAGGAAGAAGAGTGGAGACATCGACTTAAGTTTGAAGCCACAGCGGCCGAGGAAAGTGGAAAAAAAGTTTAGTGACTTGTTTTCAAATAAAAAACAAAAGAGTGTATCAGCTAAGGAACTAATAGTGCCAGAGAAAATACCACCGAAAGCAGCTGCCATCTTACACATACATTCGCCGGAGAGTGACAAAACCAAGAAGAAATTGAAAGGGATGGGAAAATCGGAGTCTGCAAAATCGATGACTGAGTTGATGACTCATAAGCGCGTGCGTCGGGGTTCGGAGAGTGATATGTGCCCGAACCAATCACGCGGTTGTGTCAACCCTGCGTTTGTGTACAGTACACCACCAAAGGACAGGAAAATGCCACTGTCTCCCACGGCGTTTCTGAGTACGTATATTATATTTTCATTTGCTAAAGTTGCTTATTGTTGTAAGATTGCCGCCACAGAGTCTAATTTAAGACTAAAAGTTAGTCAACAATCTTGTCAGTTTGTCACATCTTGTAAGACGTCCTCTCCCCCCTCTAAGTTTACTTAGGCTGTTGGAAAACTCATTGTGTATAACAATCATTGTGAAGTGTCACTAAATATAATATGTACTTAGTACTGCGGTACACTTGTACTCTGATTAGGAGCTATCATTTCAGTACTCGACATTATTATATAGTTATTGGTAACGTTCATAGACTTTTGTTGCATAATGCTAAGATGCTTTTATTTTCTAACATTCATGAGTTATTTCTAACGTTATTATTCATCACTTAAAAAAAGTCTAAGGAATAGGTTGATTGTCTACTGATAGACCTGTTTTTCTAATCAGGCATAATATCTGGTAGACAATGATAATTGTACCTATGTGTAAAATAACTATTTTCTTCTGATGTTTTCATAGACCCGTGGATAAATTGCATATGTTTATTATTTGCCCTCCACCCATATCTAAACAAGCTTAAAGGCTTTATATTACGTGCAATGCAACCAAAACAAGTGCGTCATAGTTTAGTAATTCCTTAAATATCACTAACTGTTTAATAAAGCTATCTACGTCAAAATTGTCCTGAATATTTAAATCTTTCAAACCTTAATTTGCTAACACTTGCACAGACGATATGTTTATATGTTACAACAACTGTTATTGACCTTAAGTATTACCCTTACAGTTTAGGCTCTAGGAATGTAGCTTGATATGAGAATTTTTTCTTTCAATTTTCTATGAAAGAGTACGAAGACGATGCAATGAGCTCTTGACGAAACAATACACTAGATTGTATCGAAATGTTCCTCGATAATAAATAATGACTACTAATTACAAAATCTAAAAATATAAGTTATACTTGATAAGGTGTATCTAACTTTGCTTGAGAAGATTGCAATAAATATATCCTTTAGGGACTTATTCCGTCTTTAGTAGTTTTAAATTGTTTCTATATTTTATTAGCAAATTAACACATTAAAATGTTTTATTTGACATTTTCGTTACGCAAGTTAAACGGTACATTGCTCATAAAATTTATTATTTCCGCTGTTCCGTAACAAACTTGCCAAAATATATTACTATGCGAAAACGCGCAACTTAAATACTTTTTGATCCTCGTACTTTTTATTTAGTTTAACAAAGACATCTCCCGTATTATTAACAAATATGTAATGATACCTAAACATCCACAAAGGCCTCATCTCCGCTTCAGAAAAGACCTTTACTCAGCAGTGACTGTAGGCCTTAGCTGCTGTTAATGCTGACGATGATGATGAATTAAAATGTATTGCTGAATGTTGACTTTATTTATTTATTTATATAATGCTAACAACTACCATTACAGCCTAATCCAATACGATAGTGTGGCCATCAGTCTTACAAATACTTACAATATATTTCAGTCTCATTACTATAATTACTTATTATCTAATTATATTAAATTTAATACTAATCTAGATACAGCAAGTCGGATAAAAACAATAAAGTTCCCCATTATAATATAACTGTTTAACTCGTCGAGTACCGGTTTTGTAGACACAATTATAGAGGTAGAACAATAGGTTGCGGTCACCGGTGACCGCTTGGTGTTTGACAGTTTAAGTAAAATATTTAAAACTACACGTAACTTATATGTACAGGTAATCATAAAATTTAAATGTGTGTGACTTATTAGTATGTAATCTAAACTATAATACAGATAATGTAAGTACCTGAACGTACACAAATGCATTTTCTTATCTAACTAGCATAAAAGCGGGGGCGGGGTGGATAGGACTTAATGCGAAAACAGTAATACATATCAGAATTGCAAGTAGGTGTATCAGACTCGTAATTTTAAACAAAAACAGGTTTCTAAACAAACTGGTAATCCGTTTAGTTCGCTCGATTGGTGTGACGTGCGTTAATAGTCGATTGAATGATGTTTTTAAATTCAACCGTCGAATTTATTGACACTAATTTTAATTAGAATCAATAAATTGGCATATTCTTTATTAAATCTGTATAAAAATATTTTTATACGGCTGGTAAATTTTATACCTATATGCCTCGTTTGTATTAAAAGCCAGGCATTGCTACTGAAGATTTGTAACAATTTAAATTACTGTAATCAACTGCTTGTAGTGCAGTCCAGAACTTCAGAACAGTTTTTTTTCTTAGCATTCCTGTGTGCAACTTAAGCAATAACAAAAAAGTAAATCCTCTTTGAATTGCTAACCTTGATAAATAACTTAAAATTAATTTCATCCTTGTCAAAGGCTTTTGGATAACGATCAGCCTCAAGTTGCCAGTAATCTAGGTTCTATATTTAAATTAACCAAAGATTAGCGAGATACCGGCTGAAATCTCTGCCTTGTTAGTCGTTGTTATCCGACAATAATTAAACAATAAACTTTGATCTTTGTGCTAATTCTTAAGACCGGCTTTAAGTGCTTTCAGCGGGTTTTCATTCATTTTAGATTGGAGGAATACGCTTGTAATATTTTAGACATAATTTAATCTCTTATTATAATATTTAATTTTCCTACTAAACAATGATAAATTTCTTTATTGGGTGGATAATAATTGATATAATTGTCTATTTATTGTGATATACATATATAACATCACGCCTTTAACCCCGAAGGGCTAGACACAGGTGCACTCAATGCCACTGTGCAATGTAATATACACTTTTCACTATTTAGGTTATGAGTCCCGTGTAATTGGGGGTGAGCCTATTGCCATATACCGGGCACAATTCCAGACTCCACGCTAGTATTGAGATGTTTCTTTAAAAACACAGTATTACTTTGTCCGTCCCGGGAATCGAACCCGTGATCCCTGCCTTATTGTGATATTTATGCATAAAAATATATGTGGTTAGAAATGACAAATGTTTCGCTACATCCTTTCAATCAAATCCTTTTATTCAAATGAAAATCGAATTTAGAGTTTTTAAAAAATAATATCATACCAACTTTCAAACATGGAACCATAAAAAAGAAAACAATAAAAAATAATGTACATAAAAATGCTTTTAACAAAAATTGCAGACTTCAATGGCGCGGAACGGAACACCCGCACAAACAGATGCGGATGTTCTTTATTCTCGTGTATTGCTAAATCAAAAACCACCATATAGGGTGAAATAGGAGAACACAAGTAATCTACAGCCATTCAAATAACCCCTCTGTTTATTTCCGAGTTCAAACGAGACTCACAAACATGCAGGATATATGGGTATTTAATTTACTACTAATCTATTACTCCTTTATTATTTTACTTTCCTATTTCCTCTTATAGAGGTAATTGTCTTATTAGTCTTAGGTATACTACGATTATAACTGTTTAATACTATTTTTTTAAATTTACGGTAAATAACTTTTGACAAAGTTACTCAACTAGTTTCGGCCTCGCTAGGGACCCTTAATCATGATCAGCATGCGCGACAAGCTATTTAATATGCATCACGACATTTCTCTCTTCGATTTTTTTTTAAGATTTCACGTTTAGAAATCAATGCTTCCATTCATATCATGCCATGTTAAAATTTTGTATCGAATAACACGCGTTGAGGTCGTGTCGTCCGCGTGCATTATGCATTGCACCTTACTTCACCTTAGCATAGTAAAAACTGATCGCCGTGAACGGATCATTAAGTGCTGTTGTAAGTGTTAAAATTATGTGTTTTTTGGTAGAAGCCATTAGTACTTAACACCCGCGTAACTAGCCACCAATTAACTATTGTTTCGCAAGCACAAAGTATCCACTTATTCTTAACATTTACATTTTACTGTAGTTGTAAACCTAGTTACAACTAATCGTACTTACTAAGAACAATTTACGCCCACACGTAGCAAGTTATATAAAAACTTAAATAATGTTGATTGTAATAGTTTTGAAAGCAGATAGGTACCTACCTAAATGCGTACCTACCTATGAACAGATATATTTTTGGGGCAAATCATCGAATGACTTCTCACGCCTGGGTGAGGTAGAAGGGCTGTGTCAGACTCTTACTGACTAAATACCACCCAGTTCTTACTCCTGCACTTCGAGCCAGAGCCCCGACAACCCGTTAAGTCCTCCGCGGCTCCGTATCGGCATCAGCCCTATTGAGTCCCATCTGCGGTGGTCTGATGGCTCTTTAAAGCGCGCGCGGAACGCAACGCGCCGTACGCTAGGGATGTACAGATATAGAGCTTCGATAAAACTAAACTATCTAAAGATCAAGTTCAAGTTCTAGACAATCATGTCATTTAAGATTAAAACCAAAGCAACATACACCAGATCACTGTCGTCATTTTATCGGAACTCGTGTAAGAAGACAATTTGGGTCGATACGATAATCCTAAGACGACATTGACCGATGCCATTGTCATCACATTACATTATCGTTGCATTTTATGCGTGATGCAAGCCTATGACATTTTATTTTGGACCGTTACATACCTATCTCTTGATAACTTGAAAACATTATCAAAACAGTGATTTACAGGTTCTTTCCCCTTACATGTATGCATGATTGCGTTTTTCTTTCGTATTACAAAACCGGGCCATAAGAATTAGGTATATTAAATTACTGAATTATAATAAATTACTGTCTAGCCACCGCGTCGACCGTAAAATTTTTTACATAAAGGTTTTTAACGTCTCAAAAATGACAAGCATTTAAAAAAGACAACATAGTCTGCATATTCATTCATTCATCATCAACAGCCTATAAATGCCCACTGCTGAGTAAAGCCTCTTCTCATACGGAGGAGGTTTGAGCAATAATCACCACGCTTGCTCAATGCGGGTTGGCGATTAGAAACTTATGATTAGAAATTATAAGCCCAGGTTTCCTCACGATGTTTTCCTTCACCGTTTGTCAGTGATGTCTGAATAATCTTAGAAAGTACATACAACTCGGAAAAAGTGAAGTAAAAT